GCCAAGGACAAAATACACAACAACCTCGACTCCCAATGACAAAATACACAACAGCCTCGACAGTCTATGACAAAATACACAACAACCTCGACACCTATAGACTGTTCATGCAGTCAGATAAGTATTACCAGGCATTGATATTATAAGAGGCGTTCAATTAAAAACATCTAAATCAGCTTTGAAATTAGCCAGAGTTTACTCTGGTCCTGACAACAGACTTAAACATCTAAGGCAACTTAAACTTGTATTTCATGTAAACACATCCTCGAAATTCTAGGGCTTATTTTCACTCTCATTCTCTGAACAGAACGAAAAAATGGGCGTAACCACAGGAATTTCGAGGGTGACGTAATCTCTGCCAGAGTCCATTTCGGGGACTGATAGTCTACCAGCTTCCACCTTGTTACGTCAAATTATCGCAAGAAGTACGAACAAATAAAGCAACTATATATATAAAAAATATTTGCAGATGCAGAAAGCCATCCGCTACTTTTTTAATAATGTCCAATTTCATAACCGTTAGTGTGTTGTATTCACTATAAAACCGGCTCCATATGTACAAAAAATAACGTCAGAATGTGTCAACAAAAACCGTACATTTCTAAAGAGTGTTATGTACTTCCGCCCTGTTTTGTTACACGGTCAATGGTTTGCACTTTACGCCTTATTAATGTACAGTTCCTATGTTAAATATCATAGTCTGACTATTTTTAATTTTTTTTCTTATGTTTTCCTTCTGGTAAATATCGTTTTGATTTAAATATATTTTATGTTATCAAATTTCATGGAATTCGAGAACAAGTTTTCCAACATAAAAATGATGACCAGTCATTCTTTTTGAAATAAATAGTTACATATACTTAGACCTTAGTAATACGACTTGCTCAGTACAAGTAAGTGTTATAGTGTAAAATCACGGCTTTAATGCGGTGACATTATGCAATTCTCACTCATCAGACTATTCTCTAAGCCATAAGACTATTATAACTGACCTTATGTTTAGTTCCCACCGTAACATCCACTTGTAGCCAGGATCCGGACTACCTTCTACCCGTCTACCGATGGAAAGCGGACTTCAAGTTCGGTGCTATACAGAGATAGTGTGGAGAGGACCTACGTCCTGTACTGGAAACTAACCAGTGGAGAGGACCTACAGAGGTCCTGTACTGGAAACTAACTGTAAGTCACTACACCTTTCAAGGTGTAACATGCACCTCTCCAACCAGTTTCGTCTTAAACGGTGTGACACCCAGCGCGAGATAGTCTCGGTCAATATTAAGGCTTTAGTAGGAGATTTATGGAAGTTTCGAATTACTTTCTTGTGTGATGCTATCTATCTTTTACAGTGTAGATAGGTAGTATATTGTCTAATAGTTTATGAGATTCAATACAGCACTTACTTCAAGTGTAGTCTGTCCTAACATGCACGCCACATTAAAATATCGAGAACAACTGCTCTTCACTCTCATGCGTCTTATATTAATACATATATGACAATCGGGAACGTCTGCATGCTATTGTTTCGATATATTGATACATATATAACAATCGGGAACGACTGCATGCTATTGTTTAGATATATTGATACATATATAACAAACGGGAACGGCTGCATGCTATTGTTTAGATATATTGATAAATACATAACAATCGGAAACGGCTGCATGCTATTGTTTAGATATATTGATAAATATATAACAATCGGGAACGGCAGCATGCTATTGTTTAGATATATTGATAAATACATAACAATCGGGAACGGCTGCATGCTATTGTTTAGATACAATGCATATTGATACATATATAACAATCGGGAACGACTGCATGCTATTGTTTAGATATATTGATACATATATATAACAATCGGGAACGGCTGCATGCTACTGTTTAGATACAATTTATATTGATACATATATGACAATCGGGAACGGCTGCATGCTATTGTTTAGATATATATTGATACATATATAACAATCGGGAACGACTGCATGTTATTGTTTAGATATATTGATACATATATAACAATCGGGAACGACTGCATGCTATTGTTTAGATATATTGAGACATATATAACAATCGGGAACGACTGCATGCTATTGTTTAGATATATTGAGACATATATAACAATCGGGAACGACTGAATGCTATTGTTTAAATATATTGATACATATATAACAATCGAGAACGACTGGATGCTATTGTTAAGTTACAATGTATATTGATACATATTTAACAATCGGGAACGACTGCATGCTATTGTTTAAATATATTGATACATATATAACAATCGAGAACGACTGCATGCTATTGTTAAGATATNTATATTGATACATATATAACAATCGGGAACGACTGCATGCTATTGTTTAGATAAATTGATACATATATAACAATCGGGAACGACTGCATGCTATTGTTTAGTTACAATGTATATTGATACATATATAACAATCGGGAACGAATGCATGCTATTGTTTAGATAAATTGATACATATATAACAATCGGGAACGACTGCATGCTATTGTTTAGATATACTGATACATATATAACAATCGGGAACGACTGCATGCTATTGATTGCGATGGTTATTTGTTAACCAAAGTTTTAAAGATTACAATAATTTCCCAACACCCAGCTGTTTCCATACCTCACTCTCGCGGGATCGGAGCGTATCTTACATGCACATAACATGTTCCACTGCGCATCCTCATTACACATGCAAGCTTGACCACTACATCTTGACCACACATACGTCACTAGCCTCGCTCTCATTCTACCGCCGATGCTGAAGACGTCCGCATCACTCGCTATTACCTAACGCTATCCATTACTACCAGATTCACCATGCCACCTAAAAGACGAGGGAGAGCTCCAACCAGGACCCCTCCTCAAGTAGCCAACGCAGATTCTTTCCTTCTACAAGAATCCCTGGCATTACGAGGTAGGAGACGACAAACTTCTCCATCTCCCCCCACAGGGCCTCGGGGACAAAGATTTCGTTCCCGCTCTGCACTGGATGGTTCCAATCCTTTGAACTGGCCTGTCGCCAAATTGTGCCAAGAACTAAAGATTTCCGGCATGGATTTACCGACGTCAACACCACACAAAACGCTCGTGAAAGTGTACCAACAACTACACAACACCGCCATACACGTGGATCTCGAACAACAACAACAACAATCTCAACATTCGGGATCACGTGACATGCTATATCTGGCAACTTCAGCCACTTCCGGTACGGAGTCACGTGATAGTCAAGATGGCGTCCGCAACCATAAAGATGGCGCCAACCATAGTCAGGACACAGCTTTGAACAATCTACGGCAAGAAATGACTTTAATCCAAGCCACACTTGCCCAAATAAACAACCGCTTCATAGGTGTCGGCGCTAACAACTCCGCAAATAACCCTACGGTGGAACAGGCGCCCACTCAATGTAGGGAAAGTTTTTCTTCTACGCATGACCATGCAAAGAAAAGGGTTTCGATGGACGACCTACCGGAGGTCAACATCGTTCCTCAACATCTCCGCAGCGCCATATACGCGCACAAACACATAAATCTGGTCTTACTACTCATTCCCGGCATGGACAGCGATACAGAAACTAAAATCATCGACCAGTCCGGTAACCAGGTCATCGTGAAAAGTAATGACCCCAGAGCTATGCGCCATCTAAACATTCATGAGTTCAGGATTGCCTTCTCCCGTTTTAAGAACGTGATCTGTGAGAAAGAGCCAGAAAGACGGCGCAAACTCGACTCATATTCGGACCTCATTGACGACATGTTTGTGCAATATGGGGGCACCCACTACTACGACTACCACACTGCTTTCTCTAAAAAGGAAGAAAAATACGAGGTCACCATGGGCCTTCAAATCAACTGGGCATCACGGGATACCGGTCTCTACTTAAAGATGTTCTCAGGTCTGAGAAGCGTCACTTGCGAACACTGTCATAGCGCGAGCCACTATTCCGGTTTCTGTCCCTCTCTTCTCAATACCCGATTCCACAACGACCAAAACAGTCCGGCCTACCCAGAACATGGGAAATCCAACCCCAAACAGGCAAACAACAACACCCAGGGTAGTTCCCAAGAACATGCCCAACATAAGACTGACAAGAGGGGTCGGCCAAGGCTATTCCATAACGGAAAAGAGTTGTGCAACAATTACAATTCCAATGGCTGCATTCTCACCCACAACAATTTCGCACGAATGATTCACTGCTGCCAAATATGCAAATCACCCAACCATCCAGCTCCAGAGTGTGCAAAAGGAAAAAATAACCAAAAAAGTCAATCAGCCACATCCAATCAGAACTGACTAAATGAACTCCCTGATATCACCACCGCCTTTAATTCCTCAGGTTTCAAAGAACTGCATGATTTCGATTCCAGGGCCAGCACGCCTATAAACATTGATAATCTGGAAAGCGAGTTAAGAGACCACCCCGATCAAGAGTTTGTACAGAGTCTCGTCAATGGTCTCAAACATGGTTTCAACACAGGAATACAACATCACCCTAAAGTGAGTTTTACCTGTAAAAACTTACAGTCAGCAACTTCTCAGCCCCTGATAGTTTCCCAACTACTACAAACAGAACTCAAAAAAGGCTACATCATCGGACCGTTCAAAAGACCCCCATTTGAGATCTACAGAATTAACCCTCTCGGTTTAGCGCAGAAAAAGTATTCCAAAAAATACAGATTAATCGTGGACCTGTCGGCTCCCCATGATAACCCACAACATACCAGCCTAAATAAACTCATCGACAAAGATCAATATTCGGTCAAGTATGTGCGGGTCGACGATGCCATTTCTGAAATAAAAAAAACTCGGGAAAGGTTCAAGTCTCAACAAAACAGACATTGTTGATCCATTCAAACTCTTGCCTATTCATCCAGATCTCTGGAAATTTCATGGCATACAATGGGAAGACAAATTCTACTTCTTCGTTCGACTTTGTTTCGGGTCAAGGAGTAGCCCAAACATTTTCACTATGCTGTCGGAGGCCATCCACTACATAGCTACGCACAGCTATGGTATATCAAAAATGTTATTTCTGTTGGATGACTTCTTAACCATCGACCCCGTGCAGAATAATGGCCATAAGACCATGGAAACCCTTCAGTTCGTCTTCAATAGACTAAACATACCATTACACCCCGACAAAACCCTCGGACCTGACACCTTCATGACTTTCCTAGGCATAGACTTGGACACCATCAAACTGCAGGCATCGCTTCCCCCGGAAAAAATCTCGCGTATCATCGAGGTGCTGACCGAATTTGCGACACGAAAAACAGCAACAAAACGCGAACTATTAAGTCTGCTAGGACACCTCAACTACGCATTGCGCATTATCATTCCAGGGAGAAGTTTTGTTTCCTATCTCCTTACCCTCGCCCACTCCGTTAAAGAACTTCATTTTCATGTCTCCATGAACCGTGACTGTGTTAGCGAAATCTTCATGTGGCGCTCATTCTTGCAGACATGGAACGGAATTTCGTTCTTTCATGACGACAACCTAACCGATTCCGCCGATTCCGAACTATTTACTGATGCAAGTGGAACTCATGGATACGGTGGTTACTTCCAGGGCAAATGGTTTGCCGAGCCATGGCCAAACACCATGCCAAAACTCTGTGACAAAGACATGTCTATCGCTTACATGGAACTCTTTCCAATCGTAGTGAGTGCACTCCTGTGGTCCAAAAACTTGCCCCGCAAGCGCATCCTCTTCCATTGTGACAACATCACCACCGTGGCCATAATCACAAAAGGTCGCAGTAAATCTCCAATGATTATGAAACTCATGCGTACCCTTACCCTTTGCGCAGCTAATGAAAACTTTGTCGTGCATGCAAAACATATCCCAGGAAAATACAATGTATTAAGCGACTGTCTTTCTCGTAAACAGATCAAGAAGTTCAGGGCACTGGCGCCACATGCGGACCACTACCCTCACAAGATCCCCTCACTGGACAAACTCTTGCTTACCTAAATCCGACAGTGACGAGGCTCTGGGAAACATCCCTAGCACAAGGTACCATCCACGTTTACAATTCTGCATCAACCCTGTACAAAAGATTTCTCGTCCTCCATTCATTGTGGACCTCCACAGCTGCCAAGTGTGACATTCCCGACCACATGGTCAAAACCTTAGGTCGGTGGTCTTCTGACTGTTATTTCCGATACATTCGTCTGGATACAGACGACATTAGGAAGGCACAGATTCACTTGTGCCATCGCTAGCTGAGATGTCATGTGCCTTTATACTTGTACTTTTCCCTCTTGAAGAACTCTTAATCATCACGTGCCATCCTATGTGTGTTCTGTTATTACCAGTCATACTCTTTGACTATCGGAATGAACTACAATATATAAGTGTATCTGTCCGCCTTTACACAAGTATGTATACATCTGTTCGTGATCAGACATGGGATTTCATAGTGAGGAATATGTTCTCAAAACCTAAGTGTTCAGTCTTATCGGCTTTCACATATCCATATCTAACATTTCTTGAAACTTTATGTATAACTATGTGTTGCCCAACCCAATCTACAATAGCTACTACACATGTATCATGTACTTCACACCCATATAACTATGACTTTTCCCCATCATACCCCGCACAACCCCATCCACACTGACACAGAACATTACCAAAACTTTAACTTTTTTAACTATAATAATCTTTTGGGGGCTTTGTACTCACGAAGCATTGCCATTTCTACTAATCGCCAATACTTCGTTCTTCCAAATTGGCTTTCTTATATAATTCCTATATAAGTGCCCCCAAATAATTAAATATTCCTACATATTCATTATCTGAGCCCATTAGCTCATCTCTCATCTATAGATAGGCTGAATAAACCGGGTCATGACTGTCTGGTTGGCAGCACTCGCTCCAATCATCTCTCTTCCCTGCAACTTCAGTTTCCTCTGGTCTCAGGCTCCGCCATGGTCATGAAACTTCAAGTAGGTAACAGCCCTACTTTCTCCAGTAGGTAACAGCCCTACTTTCCCCAGTAGGTAACAGCCCTATTGCCACAGTCATGACCATCTCCAGCCTAGTCTTACATGTATATTTCTTGGGGGTACTGGTGCATTTGTCGCCCCCAATTTGCCAAAAGATATTAGATGAAGTAGCATATTATCATTACATAATAAAGCTGTCAAACCTCATACCATTGTTGTTGGGTTTTTTAAA